TGCGATTAGGGTTATAAAGTGTGAAACCCCGCAACTGTGTGATAAGTAATTGTAGCCGTTATTTGTAGATTGTTCAATAAACCAATTAACGATCTCTACGGCGTCTTCAGTAACGTAAACACGTTACAATACATATCATGGATGAAAATCAGTGCAACAGGACGCTAAAATACAACATTATGATGAAGTGGAATGCTTCCAGCATGTGTTGGAGATGCTTTATGGCAGTTGTGTCAAACATGCATCCCACAGGCTGCATGCGGCCCCCATAGCCACAGAGTGTGGCCCCTCAACTTTTAGAGCTAATTGATATTAAAATCACTATTAAAATTTTAGTAGAAATATTTTTTGTAAAGACAATTTTCCAACAGACCAGAAGACAAGAAGTCTCATGCAGACATAAATTAGCAGGCTGCAGGAAAAGTGATTCCGAGAATTGCAGAAGGGTTTGTCCAACTAACGGTTTGTAAAGTTCGTAAAGGACAAACTATTGTATTTCAGAAAGTTAATGCACTAAAATCCGCACAGCCTCACCACCCCAAGTATTTCCAAGAATCCCGTTTGGAGGCGTAGTAAGAATGCAAGGAGGGTGGCAACTGACAGACAAGTGCAAGGGATTTCTACCTTCAAAACTAGCTTGCAAGCCCCAGCCATTGTCTAATGGGCTGCTAGCAAACTTTCACTTTTATGACCATTGAGACAAGATACACCTTCCTACTAGTCCAGTAGTCCCTTGTGCATTGTCATTCAGTTCATTTTCACACAGTGACAGGTGCTGATGTTACATTGTTATGAATGTATAAAGGTTATAATTAAACATTAAATTATCAACTACAAGTTTTCTTGCATATATACAGTAACTTTTAAAGGGCAATGTCGCTTTCAAAAAATTCAAGTAGCAATAAAAGAACTACTGAAAGTGAGCACCGTGTATTTCAAGAAAAATGGGAAATCGCTTATTTCTGTTGTGAAATGGAAGGTAAAATTACATGTTTGATTTGTGGGCAAAATATAAGTGTTCCACTTTAGGTAATTATCTTGAAATTATTCCTAAATAATAAATAGAATTAAATTTCCTTGTATCAAAATCTAATGTATATTTCTATTTTGAAGTGCGGCCCTGGACTATTATTTATAGGGCTGAGGTGGCCCTCTGTACACGTTTAGTTTGACATGCCTGCTTTATGGCCTTATAGATGGCCTGCAGCTCATAGTTGTATGCACTGTATTTTAGCTGGGCCAGGTTAAGTTTCTTGGAGGAGGAGGCGAGAGGTTGCCAGGCGTTCTGGACTCTTTGATGCAATATGGCACCCATGGCAGACGTGAGGCGTCTGTGACAAGGTCAAGTGGTGTGGACGAATCAGGCTGTGCCAGTAGAGTGGCATGTGACAAATTCTCCTTGCACTCTTCAAAGGCCTTAGAAAGTTTCAGTGTCCAGGTGATGGGGGTGAGAGCCCTTGACTCTGAGGCCAGAGACGACACTGTGAAGTGGTGCCTGGTGTGAAGCCACATAGGGTAGAAATCGCCTGTAGAAGTTAGGCATGGCCAGGAAACGGCAGAGCTGACTGGTAGAGCTGGTTGGCAGTCCTGAAGGTGGGTTACTCATTCTTCCAGTGGCTCGGAGCCCTCAGCAGACACTTGTAACCAAGGAAGATGATCTCAGGTACTCGGAAGACGCATTTCACCAGGTTGATGAGGATCCTGTACTTCTGAAGTCATTTGAAGAGAGCCCATAGATGTTGCTTGTGCATCTCAAGAGACTGGGAGAAAATGAAGATGTCGTCCAAGTAGCCACCCTACTGACTGGCTCGAATTTCCACTTTGGTTGCCCACAGACATTACCACCAACCAGGGACATCAACATGAATCTCAATTCTTTCACTCCCTGGGCAAGCTGTGTGGCATTCAGCTCTTACATACAACCGCCCACCACCCCACAGCGAATGGGCTCGTGCACTGCTTCCACCAGATGCTGAAGGCAGCCATCATGTGCCATGCATACCAACACTGCACAGAGGTGTTTCCCCTGGTTCTCCTCAGAATCCGCACGACATTCAAAGAGAACTTGCGGACATCAGTATCTGAACTTGTCTATGGCAAGCCCCTAAAAATTCCCAGCGAGCTACTGTCTCCAACAGCTGAACCACTGAATCCAAGGTACCTAATCACGCAGCTCTGCCAGCACATGGCCCACTTCAGACCAGTTCTAGCAGCATGCCACGCCTCCCCAGCTACATTCGAGCACAGCGACCTCAAGAAGTGCATGCGCATCTTCCTTCAAGACACAAGGTGCCAAGCACTGAAGCCCCCCTACAGTGGCCCCTACCAGGTCATGTCTTGGAGAGGGAAGACAACGCAACTCCTTGTGCGTGGCAGTCCCATCACTGTGTCAAATGACAGGACCAAGCCTGCCTACACGCTAAATGAGGCTGACCATGGGACCACCATATTCAACCCCACAGTTGACACAACCAAGGCCATAGCACCACCTGCCATGCTGCCACCACCACCCATTGCACAAACTACATGCTCCAGACACCACATACATCTCCTCCCTGCCCACTTCAACATCTGAGCAACCATCTCTGCAGGGGGGTGATGTGGGAACTGCCCACATTAAACAAAGCATTGTAACAAACAACGCACTTATTGTACAAGTAAAACTAGGAATTATTCACTGCAGTACAATGACTTAATAATGAAGGTGTCCATGGAATCAGATCAAGAAAACACAGTAACAGAAGAGTAGAACCAGTGTCCTCTAGACCGTCAGAAAACTATAAAAGGAGAGCGCCCATTCATGATGAATCTATCTTCTTCAATGCGCCTATCTGCAATTTGCTACAAGGAACCTGCAACCTGCGACCTTCAAATCATCAGACCGAAGCTCATATATGTGTTCTGTATCAATAAATATTTGTATAGAAGTTTAATAAGTGGTTGTCCTGATCTGATTCCATGGATACCTTCATTATTGAGTCATTACATTGCAGTGAATAATTCCCAGTGACAATTGTATAATAGGTGTGTTGCCCTTACAATGCTTGGTTTAATGTGGGTGGTTCCCACAATACAGTGTATTAAAACATGAATTTCTTTTCTGCTTAAAGAAATGTCCCAGTAAGAAAATAAACGTAATATGCTGTCTTCAATACCTACAATTCAGTTTTAAAGATAGGAAAGTGATATATTAATCTGGGCAGGGACAAAATATTGTCCAAACTCTGCCAATCACACAATTCACTGACATACTGTACTTACTGAATTAAGATACTTACGTGACATCTTCAATGTCAATTCCTCGTGAGGCAACATCAGTGGCAATCAAAATGTGCACAGTTCCACTTTTCAGGTCTTCCAAGGCTTGCTCCCTATCATATTGCTCCCTGTCCCCATGGATACTTTGGCATGTGATTCCTGCTAAACTCAAGTTAGATGACAGGTCATCAGCTCGAATCTTCTTGCCAACGAAGACTATAACTTTGTCATCAGGATCCATGTTTCGAATGAACTCATCCAACTATAAAATAATAATTCTCAAAAGATAACAACTATACAGTAATAAGCACAATCAGCAATAGAAGGGGGTAAAATTAACAGTTACATTTAACTCTGACTAATAGGGTCACTTCATCTGTTCAGTGTGTTTCAGCTTCATTAAGCCATCCTCTGGCATGCCATATATCTCCTGTCATAAGAAAACTATTGATTAGATGAGAATACAGCAGATATGTTTCAGTATTCTAAAAAGAATTAAAAATATTGTAGCGTGTTTTGTGTGTCACGCAACAAATAAATCCACGTAGCTCTCAAATTTAATAGAACCTTTATTGTTCTTCACTTATACAATCACACGCTTTACAATCACTAGCACTTGCAGTATTGCAATTAATGCTCGCACAATATCTCGGCCAATACTTCTGTAGCTCCAACTATCTTCAGTGGCAGCTTCCTGAAGACTCTCTTCTTTGGCGGTTAATACCAGTCAAACTTATTCGGCGACTAATTCCAGACTGTGTTCTGTATCTCTCGACATCTATCGCGAGACTGTCTGTCTCTCATCGAAGCTGGGCTTTTATAACTCTTCGGTTGCTATGCAATGTCTTCTGTTGTCTATCACCGGGGAAATGCTGCTTCGTTGATTCTGCTATTCCTATGCAACAGCTCACTGTTGGGGTTACAGTATCGCTATTGTTGCTTCTTATGCAACGGCCAGTTCTAGCGTTACTAAGGAAGTGACTCCTGGATTCCAAACTTGTTACAATATGTTAAATTAAATTAATATTATTAAAATCAATATATATATATATATATATATATATCATAAGTTACAGCTTCTCTAGGATTGAGATGTGGCTAAGGCTTATTGTCCTATCAGCCTGTCATCTTTCCTTTTGAAAACGATGGAGAAAATAGTGGATAGGCATATCAGGGACGGGGCGTTGAGGACATATCCTCTACACTGAAACCAGCATGCCTACAAAACAGGTAAATCTACTGAAAGCATACTACACAATGTGGTAACACGCATAGAAAGTGCAATCGAACACAAGGATATTGCCTTAGAAGCATTCCTTGAAATAGAGGGAGCTTTTCATAGAACCTCATTTGATATAATCAAACAGGCCGCTGAAAAGCATTGCATAGAGCCTGCAATATGCAGATGGATCAGAGCTATGCTGGAATGAAGAAACATAGCTGCCATACTATCACAAGAGACCCTGGGGGTGTGTGCAGGGGGGCATGCTCTTGCATCTCCTGTGGGGACTTAATGATGATGGGTATTATACAGTAGGATATGCTGATAACATAGCAATACTTATAAATGGAAAATTCCTTTTGACAGTGTCAGAGTGTCTTCAAACAGCTCTGTACATGGTCCTACGATGGTGTGAAAGAACAAGTCTTTCCATCAATCCCAACAAGACGGTAATTATATCGTTTACTAGGAAGAGAAATATAAAGGGCCTTAAGGAACTGACCCTCTTCAATAAGATGATCCAGCTCTCCAGCGATGTCAAGTACCTTGGTCTAGTATTAGACAAGGGACTGACATGGAAAAAGCAGCTGGATAAGGTCATCAATAAAGCCTATAAGGCTTTCTGGACAGGCAGAAGCATGTTTGGTAAAACCTGGGAACTGCAACTGCACGTTGTGCATTGGATATATACTGTGGTTGTAAGACCCATAATTACATACGGTGCCATAGTATGGTGGCCCAAAATTAAACTCAAGACAAGCAAGGCAGAACTTACCAAATTGCAAAGGTTGGCTTGCTTGGGTATCACAGGAGCAATTTGAACATCTCCAACAGCTGCACTGGAGACACTCCTTGGACTCCCCCCACTGCATCCACAGTTGGAGGCAGAGGCCAGGACAGGAACCTACCGTCTCCAGTGCAGTGATCAATGGAAACCTAAATCCGATAGTTTCGGACATGCATACATGACTCAGGACATGAAAAAAGAACCCATATTACAAATGGGGTCTGACAAAATTATACTGAGCCAAGTATTTGAAAAACCATTCACAGTCAGATTTCCTGACAGGAGTGAATGGGAAGACGGGTTTCAGCCCGATAGAGAAGGGGGACTGACCTGGTATACAGATGGTTCCAAGATAAATAAGGGCACTGGAGCTGGTGTGTACTGCTATGGCACAAGGCGGAAACTTAGTTTCAGCCTTGGGCAGTACATGACAGTATTCCAGGCAGAAGTATATGCCATTGAGGCATGTATTATGGAGAATCTAGATAGGAACTACAGAAATAGGAACATCTACATTCTATCTGACAGCCAAGCTGCACATAAGGTGCCTGACAAACACCAGATCAATTCAAAATTGGTCTGGGATTGCCACCAAACCCTCATGGAACTGGCCAAACATAAGAGGGTACAACTGATATGGGTGCTGGGGCATGAGGGTATTGCTGGAAACGAAACAGCAGACAAATTAGCTAAGATCTGAGCTGAACATCCGTTCATAGGACCTGAACCAGCCTGTGACAGCTCTACAGGAGTTGCCAGACAGGCAAGGGACTGGACAAATATGAATCATGTTATATTTTAGTGTCCTGTTGCACTGATTTAAGTCCATGATTTATTTCAACCGTCTTCCACTGCATACACTCATCTATCTCACTCACTCATGGACAAATATGAATCACAATAAATACTGGGGATCCTTAACTGGACTCGGGCAAGCAAATGGACTCATACGAGGACCCTCTACTAAACAAGCGAAGGAACCATTGAAGTTAAACAGGAGCCAGCTACGATGGGTGGTAGGACTACTTACAGGACACTGTCACCTCAAAGGACACCTCTTCAAATTGGGACTAAGTAACAGTCCAACTTGTGAGAGATGTCAAGAAGAAAATGAAACAGCCACACATATCCTGTGCAAATGTGAGGCCTTAGCTTGTTTAAGATTGTGTCACTTGGGTCAATATTTTATGGAACCAAGTGACTATTTCGACGTCCCCACGTACAAGATCCTGTGCTTCATTCGAAGTGCAGGATTGTTGAGGGTATAATCAGAAGGGGAGGCACAATAGATCACTGTGGTCGTAGTAGAAGGGCCAAGAAGGTCCACCCCTTATACATTCATACCCAAACACAAACTTTGTAAAGTTATATGTATTCTACAAGCTTTTATGCCAATCACAGTGGTTGTCTGGTCTAAGGCATGAACTGTCTTCGCTTGCTCAGATGCTGGGATTGTGGGTTCGAATCCACTTGAGGCATGGATGTCTGTCTGCGTTTATTCTGTCTTTGTGTTGTTCTGTGTATAGGTAGTGGCCTAGCGATGGGCTGATCCCCCATCCAAAGAGTCCTACCGACTGTAGATTAGAAAACTGAAAAAGCAGCCAAGGTCCACAAGGGCTGTAGAGCCATAGATAGATAGACAAGTTTTTATCAAAGGTTGAAAAATATTTCAGACATCTGCCATCAAATCTGTGGGACATATAGATTTCCTCAAGGCTTACAATTCAACAGGAATGGCATGAAATTTTTAGCATAAGCTGCTCCTTGGGACTGGAACTGTGAGGATTAATATACATACCAATGGATATTTATCATCCTCTTCTACTATCTCAATTGTCTGTGTAACACTGTGAACTGCTGCCAAATCCAGTGTGCCAATGAACACTTGGATGGGATTTTTCATGTATGACTGGGCTAGCCGCCGAACACCTTCAGGCCAAGTTGCACTATAACACAACATAATCGTTATTAGCAGAGATCTGCTGCTTGCAGTAGAAATGAGCACAATAGGACATGTTCCACTTATTTAAAGTTAAAATGTATCTGGTGACCTCTTGGTGAAAACCCCAGGGGAACTGCACCTCCCACTTTAGGAAACACTGTTCTAATGTAAAGTAATCCTCCCATCTGTTAGACGAACTTCTGCTGTTATTGCTATTCTAGAGTTCCTTTGTGTTTTGTGTCCCAATATATATATATTAGCTATAATATGCATCGGAATACCCAGACCTGTGACATTTCCCTTTTAGTGGTACAGTTCATGAGCAACTGGACAGAATGCAGTCAGCTTGGCTATTACCATGGTCATGTGCAAATCTCAGGCAGCAACAGCTTGGCCAGTTACATACTGAATTGAATTGAATTGAATTTATTTACATTCTATAAATCCTAAGCAGGTTAGTACCTTTGGATACAGAACAAGTCAAAAGGTTACATACATAAGTACAGGCAATTTTAGCTTAAAAATTAATATAACTTAATTTTACATCATTCTCTATTTACATTGAAGTATTCATCTAAAGAGTAGAAGGAATGAGCATGTAGATAATTCTTTAACTCTGATTTAAACTTTTTAGTATCATTGCCCAAGTTTTTAATACTTTGTGGCAGATTGTTGAACACTTTTATGCCAGTAAAGTAGACTCCTTTTTGATATACTGATAAAGTTGATGAGGGTAGGTGGAAGTTATATTTTTGTCTAGTATTCATGTTATAGACATCAGAATTTAATTTGAATTTATCTTTGTTGTAAACAACAAATAGGAGAAGCGATAATATGTATTGCGATTGAAGCGGTAGAATTTTTAATTTCTTAAATAATTCTCTACATGAATCTCTACTTCTACATCCTGTAATGATTCTAATTATATTCTTTTGTATTTTAAAAATTATTACACTATGTGAAGAGTTCCCCCAAAATATTAATCCATAGTTCATAATAGAATGAAAGTAGGCATGGTAAACCATCTTCAATGTTTCCTGTGACATAAAAGGCTTAATTGATCTCATCGCATAGCAAGCTGCATTTAATTTAGGTATAATTTGTTCAATATGTATTTTCCAAGACAGTGTACTGTCTACATGTATTCCAAGGAATTTTGTATCAAGTACTTTACAGATTAATTTGTTGGCATAACTGATGTCCAGATCAATTTGGTGGTTGTTTTTAGTTGTGAATGATATGTAATGGGTTTTATCAAAATTTAATGAGAGTAAATTGGCTTCGAACCATCTGTTTAAGGCTTCAAATACAATATTTATGTCATTTTTAAAGTTTTCAAATTTAGAGTTCTTAAATATTATACTAGTGTCATCTGCATATAGAATTGGTTTAGATTTATTGTTGATGGTTTTAGATAGATCATTTATGTAGAGAAGAAAAAGTAAGGGACCTAAAATTGATCCTTGTGGAACACCGTGCTTTATAATTCCCCAGTTTGAAAATGCATTATGACTGGAGTTTTTATTATTTATTTCAACTCTTTGATACCTGTTTTTGAGGTATGATTTGATCCATTCATTAGCTTTGCCAGTTATTCCATAGAAATTTAATTTCGATAGTAAGATATCATGATTAACACAATCGAAAGCTTTTGCTAGATCACAGAAAATCCCTCCCACAATTAATCTGTCATTGAGAGCACTTAAAATATCGTTAGTTAGTTCATAGGTTGCTTTTTCTGTTGTTAGGTCTTTCCTAAATCCAAATTGCTCTTTGACTAATATGTTGTTAGAATTTAAGTGTTCAAGTAGTCTATTATACATAACTTTTTCAAAGACTTTTGAGAATGAAGTCAATATGGATATTGGTCTGTAATTAGAGATGCATTTTCTCTCTCCTTTTTTAAAAAGTGGTTTCATTACAGCGTATTTTAAGCGTTGAGGAAAAGTACCTGATGATAAAGATTTATTACATAGATGATTCAAGGGTGAACTGATGTAAACAGAGCTTGCTTTAAGTAATTTGGTAGAGATTTCATCATATCCATGTGAATTTTTGGGCTTAAGGGATTTAATAATGTTTTCAATTTCCTTCCTTGTTGAGAATTTGAGATTTATATTTGGAAATGAATTGTTAAAGGCACGTGACAGACAGTATATTGGATTATTATTATTATTATTATTGGAATATGTTTTCTCAGCTAATGAAAGGAAATATTCATTAAATGCACTTGCGATAGCTTGTGGATTGTTAGTGGACTTCCCTTCAATATTCAAACTTTCTATGTCTTCATTAACAGATTTCAATATTCAATAAAAGCTCTAATCCATGTTCCCTGCAAATATTTATCAGAATGAGAGTCATAAGCTGCGTATGTTTGGTGCTCTCATGGACCAGCTCAGCTATTGTTGCTGGAGATGTGAATGTGGCTGCAGTAACAATCAAGATGACTGTCATTCTGCCATGTTGACTGGGTCATGAAATATATCTTTCAAAGCAACGAATCAAAGGGTCCATCATTCTGATGGTTCTGGTGTTATTAACTACACATATATTGTGAAACACAAAACATGAAGATACAGAATAACAATAATACTAGATCACTTAAACTAAAAGCTAGAGGATGACGACATACTGTGGCATATTCACTCAAAGCAAGAACGGTGGAGTCACGACAGCTGATTGTTACTTGAAAGTGGTCTGTAAACAACAACAGAGGAATGGTGTTTTCTGTGCAGTCTGTGCCAATGGCTGCACACACAACAAGAGAATATATCTGGCCCGTGCTGAGATGTTATAAGCAGGACAAGTTAGGAGCAATAAATCAGAGAATTGCTGCTGTTGCTGTGAGAAGCTGGTACCTGAGGCCAGGAACCCACAGAGGAAGGGGAATGACTTGTGTTGGAAGCTGCTACAAGCAACAGCATTGAGGATGCAATTGTGGACACTAGTGTGTGTGCAACAGTGAACTGTAAAGTGCAGTCATGTGCTGTATCAAAGAGTCCAATATATTCAGTCATCAATCCAAAACCCATTCATAGTCACACTCCATACATGTGACAACAATATACACAACTAATAATTACAAATAAAAAAGTATAGATCTGCAACCACTTGATGAGATACTGGCTGCTCCTGCCATTATTGCCATCGGGATATTCCAGAAAAGTGCCACATGACAGTGAAGCAATGTTTGCAACATCTCCAGACCCTCCACATAAAATGTACATATACCTGTATCATTACCTAATTTGTTATCAAGCACAAAATGCATATGTGACGCAATGCAAAAGTTCCCGAAATATATTAATAAAAACTATTGCGTCTTACCTGGATCTTATTCTGCACCACCACCTTCAAAGTAGTTGCCTTGGGAATGCATACACCGATCCCAGCATTTCTGCCACTTTTGAAATGCATCTGGAAGTCTTTCTTTGTTAGGGTGTTTAGTATCGTTTGCGTTTCCGCTTGAATTTCCTCACCTGTATCAAATCTTCGCCCCTTCAACTTGATTTTCATCTTCGGGAAGAGAAAGAAGTCACATCAACCTAAGTCTGGCGAGTACGGTGGGTGGGGAACAACTACCATCTTTGTAAGTACGCTACTGCTCTCTGCATTCACAAGCCATTCACTTGCTCTGAAGATGGAGGCGATACGTTCCACCGAAACGTCGGCCAAAACGAATAATACATGGCGCCAAAACCCAGAAGACAACTTTCTTCAACTACCATCTTGTTTTTAGCCAAAAATTCCTGCACAATGTAAGCCGCATGCGGTCGTGCGTTGTCATGGTGGAGTACCCAGTCGTTCGTGCGCCACTTCTTTGGACGTTTTCTCTCAAACGCTTCAGAAAATCGCGATAGAACTCTTTATTGACTGTCTGGCCTGGAGGGACAATGAATAATCCTGTCAATATAAAAAAAACAGATCAACATGGACTTAATGTTGCTCTCGACGTGTTGAGCTTTTTTTGGCCGAGGTGAAGAAGGGCTCTTCCACTGTGACGATTGCTGCTTACTTTCAGGGTTGTAGCCATAAACCCAACTTTCATCATCAGTGACAACCTTCGAAAGAAAGTTTTGATCCTCTTGAAGCTGTTGTTGAAGTTCCCTGCAGACTTCCAAGCGATGCTGCTTCTGCTCATTTTGCAGCAGTCGTGGCACAAACTTTGCCGCAATCCTCATGTTCAGTTGTTCTGACAAAATTCGTTGACATGTACCATAACTTAGTCCCAAGGTGTTACAGAGGTCTTGGATGGTCAGTCTACAATCTTGCAGAATCAGATCCCTAACTTTCATGACATTCTCTGGTGTGGTGCCAGCTGATGGCCGTCCTAAACGATCGTCATCATCAGTCGATGTTCAGCCATTTTTTAAATGCTTATACCAGTCATAAGTTTGTGTCTGGCCTAAACTGTTGTCACCAAAAGCTTGCTTCAACATTTGGTGCATTTCTGCAGCGGTTTTCCCAAGTTTAAAACAAAACTTTACAGACATGCTGCTCTCTCAGGTCAGCCATCGCAAAAACGCGAATTCACAGAAACACAACAATGGAAATATTTTCACCAACAATAAACCCAAGGCACAACAGATCACTCTGGTCACAGTGCAAGGGCCAAGAAGGCCCACCCTTTATACATTCATTCATACAACAATAAACCCAACCACTCAGCTTGATGCTGCTTGCCACACTGATTCAAGAAGGGTGTGTGGGGAGACACCTAGCAGTATTTCGATGTACTCACAACCATTCGCGCACAAAATTAAAATTTTGGGAACTTTTGGATTGCACCACATATACTATATATCAAACCTTGTATACCACCGAAAGCTCACCTAACACAGTAACAGGAATAGGATTTTTATTAAGTGTTTTTTGCAATTCTTGTAATCAACCAATTTATATCTTGAAAAATAAAATAACAGTAAAACCTAAAATATAAAAGCTCATCTGCCAAATGAAATAATTATTATACATAGAGTAACGAATGATGACCAGAAATTGAGGGGTATGGAATTACAACTACATAACACATGGTGGCTGTAGTTTCTATGACTTGGTCACCACTATGTTCTCCACGCTATGCTGCCACAGTGCATTCAACTTTAACTGCATTTTTGACGAAAATTATGCATCAGTTCAAATTTTATCACGACACATTTTTATTTCTTTTTTCATTAAGGAATCACATGATGTAATCTGTAGGTGCTAATTTCCTGACAAATCCTATATGTGAGGATGAAATCCAAATAAATATGGAATTAAAATTGATAAAGACATGTGATGATTTCATCATGTCAACATTTTATTCTTAATACAAAATTTCACAAGAAAACAAAGGGAACTGTGCCAGATTTTTAACATGTAATGATACCACATGGCAATCATAAATATTAAACTGACATTATCATACCTAGTCATTATAGTCTGTCTGTCTGGTCGGATATCCAAGAGAACTTTCCGAATCTGAGGCTCAAATCCCATATCTAACATACGATCTGCTTCATCCAAGACCAAGTAAGTAATTGAAGTAACATCAATTATACCTGTAAAATACATAACAATGATGAATTAAATTCATTCGACACCCCTGTTAATCACACCCATTACAAAAGATGATGTGTTAAAGATGCTGTAGCCTGGTTAACATGTTAATGAACCTCAGGACATCATCAAATGTGGGGTATTTCTTAGCTAGTTTAGTGACTGTTAGATTTCCATGTAACTAATCACACTGGTGGGGAAAATGTTGATTACTATATAAATAAATTGGAGAAAAGATGTATTCCACTTCGGAGCTGTCTTCACACGCATTCTTGGTGGTTTTGCATCATATTTACTTTAATATCTGTTTGATGCAGGTGTTCACTGACAAATTATCTGCAGTAGAAATACTACACTTCAGAACCAAATCAAATTGTGTTTAAAAAATGGAAGTTATTGGTAACCTGTACTGCATGGGAGTAGGGTTTAAATCATTGAGTCCGATGGTTGGATTTTATCTTGGGGACTGTAACCAGTATTGGTATTAGTATTTAAAAATCTTATCTTTCACACTTTTCCTGTTACAATATTCTCCTAAAAACTGTTAGAAAGAAAAATGCACTTCTGGATTCTGTGGTGTTATTTCCTTACTACTACAAAAGTCATTTCCAAAAAGAAATATGTAGACTCCTGAATGGAAAAAAATATAGTCCATATAAATCCATTTGCAAATTTGTCAGTCAATCACAGTTCTACACTTCCAATAAATAACAGGCTTAAATCTAAATAAAATCAGTTAATTTAATAAAATGTCATTTTTTGCTATATGTTTCGGTCATTTACAACTATCATCGGGCATTTATAAAAAGTAAAATGCATCGAGTTCAAGTTCGTGTCACAATGGCTCCATTTCTCTTACTCTTGTCATGAACAAGTTTTTACACAGGATTACAATGTTTAAATATATTGAAATACTTATCTAAATAAATAAAGCTCATTTTAAAATTATTGCTATTTTTCTCAAAATTATCCTATTATACGAGGGTAATTCCAAAAGTAAGGTCTCCTATGTTTGAAAATATAAAATAAACATTTATTTTCAATTTTGGATACATCAGTTGAATCTTGAACATGTACTCATTTCTCTACATAATCACCATTTCGGTCGATGCATTTTTGTAGGCGCAGTGGCAGTTTTTGTATGCCCATGTCATACCAGTTCACCTCCATGCTGTTCAGCAAACTTCGAACCTCAGCTTTCACCTCATTGTCGTTGTTGAAGCGCTTTCCAGACAAATGTTCTTTCAACTTTGGAAAGAGATGGTAGTCACTGGGCGCCAAGTCCGGACTATAGGGTGGATGGGTGATGATGTTCCATCCAAACTGTTGCAGTTGAGCGACGGTTTGTCGGGCAGCATGGGGGCGAGCGTTATCGTGGAGAATGCTTACGCCCTTGCTCAACATCCCTCTTCTCCAGTTCTGAATCGCCCGCCTGAGTTTTCTCAGTGTCTCACAATATCTCTCAGCGTTTATTGTGGTCCCAGTTTCCATAAAGTCAACCAACAATACCCCGTTTCGAT